TGGGTGTGTGTGGGGGGGGGGGGGGGGGGGGGGGCGAGGCTGAAGGCACCCATCTTGGAGCCAGCAGATGCGGGGATCAGGTAAGTAAAAGTGCTTTACTCTGGTCCCCTAGGCTTAAAAGAGCAGTCAAACCTTAAAGTGCCTTCCCTGCAAGGTTAGAGTCTTGGTTTGCCCAGAGACAGGCTCTAAAGTATTGAAGCAAGCATGTCAGCAGGGCAACCAGGTAAATACAATATAACTAATCACGTGTTTCTACATTTTATTTTCCAGACCTAGAAATATTTGTTCATAATGGCTTCAGCTGCATCCTCACCTCCCGACGACCCCTCAGCCCCAAACATGGTCACCCAAGAGTTCTGGAGGTCACATGTGTTTGGATACAGTTCATCAGTTACAGGTCACATCAGTCATCGAGCCAACAATTTCAAAAGACATCCAAAGAGAAGAAAACTTATTCGGCCTTCACCACCTCCTCCCCCTAACACCCCGTGTCCGCTTGATCTGATTGATTTTGTAGACCTTCACCCTCGAAGATCTTTTATGGAACTTTTGTTTAACGGGTGTATATTGTTCGGCATCGAGTTCTGTTATGCAATGGAGACAGCGTATGTCACACCGGTACTTCTTCAGATGGGTCTTCCAGATGAGTTCTATAGCATGGTCTGGTTTATCAGCCCCATTCTGGGTAATACTGATTTCTGTATGGCATTATGATCAGCCTAGTGAAGCCTAAAATGGAAACTATTGTGTATGAATGAAACAGTAATGGGGCTTGTTGCCAGGATATGGACACCCAAGTATTTACATATTCATAATAGGCAGTCAGTGGACTTGAAAACAAACCCTAACTGACCCCAATGGCTGCAGGCACTGTGGAGCAGTTAATCCTCAAATTTTACAGCAGAAGCACTGAAGTCCTTCAAGTTCTTCTCTCATCTGCTCCTCCTGCTCCCCTCTTCTAACAGTGATTCAACAGCTCAGCTCACCCTGCTCCCCTGTGTTTCAGGAGTGATTGAGCAGCTACCCTCCTCCTGCTCTCCTCTTTTAGTTGTATATCAACAGTTCAGCTCATCTTTTCCAAAAGTGATTTGGCAGCTCACCCTGCTCCCCTGCCTTCCAGGAGAGACTGAACAGCTCAGCTTCCCCTGCTTGCTTCCGTCTTCAAGCAGTGAATCAGCAGTT